GGAATTCTGCTAATTTCTACCCTATGTTTTTGTCTTGATTAGTCAGACTAGGCATTGTTATGCTAAGGGTTACAAATTAAGACATGCCTCTAGAAGTGAAAAAATTAAAAAGAAGCCCAGAGTGTAGTCCATCAGATTTTCAGTGATTAGATCTGCAAATGAATTTGCTACTGCCAAGCAGAGTCCAGAAAACACATTTCTACAGGTTCCCCTCTAGAGGGAAGAGAGCTGCGAAGTATGTGAATACTTGGTTACTGACTAATAAGTGACACTACCACATTGTCTAAAATGAAAACAAAATTAAGTGCTAACTTTAGTTTCTCCAAATGAAAGCTCTTAATACTCTTCACAGAGATTATACTAATTGCATCCTTACAGAACTTTTATATCTGTTTTTCTCCAGCAATCTCAAGATAGTTTGGTTTACACATCTTAATTTTGGGAAGAAAACTATTATTACCACATTAGATGCTCATTGTTGTGGATTTCACTGATCTACAGTATGTTGGATTTATAGCCCATGCATTGATCAATTCATTACTTATCTTTGAAGAAATAATTTGATGTAGCAGTTATTAAACATTGTCAAAGGAAGAACATTTTAATGCACAAAAAATTAACACTTTCATGCTTTTTTTTGGTAGTCTTGATAATTACCCTTTCAGTTACTTCTTATTAAGTTAGCAATGTATAGAAGATTGGTTCAGAAATTGTGGAGTATGTATGTGAAATAAATTACCTGCCCCCAAGAATAGTACTTATCAATAATACATAGATTCCTTCAAATCACAATAAGAACAAACAAACAAAAAAACATTTCAATGATAAACCCTAAAATTGGTTTAAATTGTTTTGACTGTAATGTTACTCATATACATACAATACTAAATATTTCTTATCCATATAGTCCTTATACAGCTGTAACATAATGTTATAAATCAAATAATAATAAAACAAATCAACATAGATATCTTAACATAAATTTATTTTGATGGATAGGTATGCTGAAGCCAAGCAATATAAATATAGTATTACTATTCCACTAGTTTTTGTACAGTACAACCTTGTAGTACATGGTTGAATCTATTTTCTAACATTTTCTCCATTTAAGAGTGATGAAAATTTTGTGCAGTATTTAATATGATATCATTTATCCTTCATTTGGTATAAATGTGTCACTTGCTTCCTGTAAGTCAGAATTATTGGATATAACAGCTTATAGCACAAAATGTTCTCACTATAAAAGCAAACCCAGATCAGTATATGGAGCATTCAGATGACTGTAGATTTAAAAAATATGCTTACACTGAAGCTTTCAAACTGTCACCAACTCATAACCGTTCAGTGAAGTATTACTGGTATCAAACATGACTCCCGAAGAGCGGCCTGCAGAGCTCACCTAGGGAAACCTCGCTCTAGCAACCTACTGTTTAGCAGCAAGTCCTGCTTTTATCTATTCTGCAGTGGCATTTCCTATACCACGCTATATATTAGACTCTGCCAAATTATTATGCAGGATAAAATGTGTCATCATTTTTATTTTGTTATACTATTAAAAAGAGTATTTTGCATGTGTAATTTAAACTCATTAGTGTTGAACTGTTTTATAAGGAATTAATATAATTTAAATGTTTTACAGATATAGGCATGGTCACAAATGCCATGGCAATATAATTATATTTATTTAATATTAATTACTTGCTAAACTATGATTTTTATTCAGATAGAATTTAATAATTCAGATTTAGTTTTTGGATGAAACAAAACAAATACTACAAATGCCAAGTAAGATTAGTCCCTGTTCATATTATGGTTTAAAGTCAATATTATATTCCTAGACTGATTAAATAGTCCATTGTGGTTACTGATTGACTCTTTGAAAAAGAATTATTTAGGGCTGGGTAAACAGCTCAGCAGGATAGGTGCCTTCCTGACAAACACAAGGTCCTAAGTTCGATTCCTGGTACCAAAAAAAAAAGAATTATTTAAATGTTTAAAGAATTATTTTAATGAGAAATGCATAAATATGGCAAATAAATTGGCTGAAAGGGATTAAATATATGTTAATTAAATAAAATTCACATTTAAATAGTTAATATAAGAATTAATAATATATAAGCAAATTATCAATGCCATAGCTAAACACAAAATGTAGCTTTGAATTTTACATAGGGTATATATAGAAAATTAGTGGGAGATGGATATATATAAGGCTAAACACAAAAATACAAATACAGTTTGGAAGGATTTAAAATATGTAGTTGTTCATAATGTTTAGGAACATAAATCATTTAAAAATGGAAGATACAGAGGAGAATAAAAGGCATTTGCTGAGAACATCAATCTATATCATAAATAATTTAGCAAAAAAGTCAAATAGCATAGTTATCAAGCTCATACCCACATCCATATTGATCTCACATCTCAATTTTTGGCTTTCCTAATTTGATTTTGTTTTTCCAATTCTAGAAAAATACTGGTGTTGTTACTTTTCACTGTCAGAATCCAAATGGTGATGTTAGAGTGATTTCCTGCTACAACTAGAGGAAGGTCACTAAGGTTTTGCCTTTATTATTACTTTTCTTAACTGTACTTTATAATTAGGTAGAATAAGACATTTTAATATGGTGTAGAGCTGAAGTTATGGAGTCGGAAATATATGCATCCTCATAGCTATATGAGGCTGCTGGTGTACCACTGGAGTACTTCTACACTTGTCAATGTCCTATACTACGAAGCAGGGATAACAATACATACTTTATTCTGCTGTTATGAGGATGCACTAAACTAAGATATTACAAAGCATAGAGTTTTGTGGATAGTAAATAAAATGTACAGTCTTTTTTTCCTTATCTCCAATTCTCACTTCTAATTTATAATGCTCTTCGGGTGTAAACACACTTTCCTTTTTTTAATGTTGTTCTGATGGAAGGTTTTCTAGGACCCTATAGTTTTACATTACTATCATCAAGATCTAATGACATCATGACGATGATCTGACAGAAAAACAAATGTGCCATGTATGGTTGTCATTTCTTTCATATCACTAATATCCACAATATAAAGGAGTTCTGATCTTTAAATTTAAACATAAGACAACTTTTCTGCTCTCTACAGTAGAATTACAAAATGTTTTCAAATGTGTAGAAAAATAAAAGTTAATCTCAAAAATAAATTTGTGGCCAAGAAAGATGTTTCTTATAATAACAGAAGTTAATGGAAGTTGAAGAATTGGATACATTAAATATCACACATACACAGATATATTCAGACATGTATAAAGAAAAAAAGATCAAGATGTTAAAATTTTTCTTTAACAAATAAGCTTATCTCTAGATAAGTAATATATTTCTCTGCAATACAGCTACACAATTAAATGCACTTTTCAGACCCTCAAAAATAGTTCTTTTGCTCTTTCAGTGGTGAGAATGACTATTTTTCTGAGAGAAACCTAAAGAAAATTTAAATTAATAAACATTTCCCAAATTAAATATTGGTTGCTACCAGTAGTAAATCCTTTTTTAGCAGAATTGCAACTATTTTTGTACTATCCAGTCAGTAATGTGGCCTTCTTCTCCCCCCAAAATACTTTTATTCCTGTGTTCATTATATAGTTTGCTGATTCTAAGTGACAGATCTATAATTAAGGAGACCTCACAGATTTCAAAAGTGAGCTGAGCTAAACAAGCTCCTTTCTTTTGTTTTGTGCTCTGTCATTTTGTTTTTTTCTTTGCTGTTCACCTTTCACAAAGAATACTTCTCGAATAAAGTTTTGATGATGAGTGACTATATTCAAACAAATTAATGTGGTGGGGTTCTCCCTAACTAATTTCTATGGTTTGACCAGGTCTCCCCAAATTCATGTTCTGGAAACTTAATCTCCAGTGCAACAAGTTCGGAGAAAGAGGTCACGGAAATTTTAGGTCCTAAAGAGTGCCTTCCCTTGGATGGATTAGTGTCCTCTAACAAGACATGCCAGAAAGGATTCTCAGCCCCATGCCTCGCCAGGAAGAGCATCCCTTGTCTCCAGAGGATGCGGAATCAAAGTGGCATCTTGGAACCAAAGACTGAACTTGACAGGCTTCACTCTTGGATGTCTCAGCCTCAAGAACTGTGAAAAATAAATTTCTGTTTTCCATAAATAGCCCAGACTGCGGTATTCATTCTTTATAGCACTAGAGACAAAGAACCAAAGAAAATAGGCGAACTTTCTGAATTTACATTCTGGTGGGGAGGGGGGTGGATCCAGAAAAATATAAATAACAAATCAGAGTATGTATATTTGTATACATGCTGCAACATGTTGTCATTATTAAAATGTCAACCAGTTGATTGATATATTACTAGATAAGGAAGTAGGTCTTTATGAAGAAGTAATATCTAAGCAAACATGAACAAAATGAATGAAACACCTGAAAGAATGTCAGATGTTAATTTGAAACAATGATTCTTAAACACAAATATGAATATATTTACCTATGAAAATTGAATTAAATTTAAAGGGTTTTTTTATGTTTATAGCTTTCTTTTTCCACAAATTTTTCCCCAGCAAAAGTTTGGCAAAATATCGTTGAACTTTTTACATATCTCATCTACAGCTATAGTGGTGTAAATGTTTCTGTACGTTTCACAGTCCCCACAAATGTATCTTAGAGTAAATGCCAAAACCAGAAAGGTAGAAAAAAAGGAAGTTATTCTAAATTGCTGACACTCTGAAAGAACACTGTATCTTGATTCTGTTAATGTGTTTATACCACTGACATAAAACATGTGTCAAACATACAAAACGATATGATGTAACATATATATTTTCATGAACATGAAAATTGAAATTTAGTTGTAGAGAAAAAGGTGAGTGATCTGACTTCATATCCATAGAAAAAAACACAAATTTTTGAAAATAAATATGGAGGAGGAATCAGATCGTTCTAGTATAAATACCTGAAAGTTTTTAACAAAATGTTGAAAAGACATCATGGAAAATAACACAAACTACTTACAACCATCTTGTTCAGAGAAACCCAGCAATCTGGTGGGAAATCCTGCAGTAGTGGCACCAAGAATTGAAGACAGCCATCCCAGTGGCATAGCAGCAGCATCATGCCAATGAGATTAAAAATTCTCACGACCGCACTGGCGAGATCATAGGTCATGTGGAATATCTGTTGACCAAAGCACAAAATCAACTCTATAAAACTCCAGTTTAGCAAGAAAAAGAAAGCATACTATTAGTAGGACTGGTGTTGCAAAATCTAAGTAATACGGTAATTTAAAAAAACATGAAAAGAACTTTCAGATGTGGAAACAGAGAGGCCGACTCAACTTTTCTTTCTTTTTCTACTTTTCTGTGCTTTATATATTTTATAACCAACTGCGACTTTTTCACAATAAACAGGTAACACAAACTGTAAGCTTTAAATAATATGAATTTGACAGATACTTTTTATTTACTGTATTTCAGACATTTTACCAAGCCCAATTTTAAAAGAAAAGGTAGTAAAGGCAGGGGATATAGCCCAGTGGCCCAAGTGCCTGCCTGGCAAGCGCAAGAGCCCAAGTACATCTATCAGTACCCCCCCGCCGCCCAAAAAAAAAAAAAGAAAAAAGTAGCAAAGTTGACACATGATACATAATCTCTTTTCTGCCTCTCATCCCTTATTTACTGATTTTTCCAAAGACAAATAAAATATTCCAAGGATATCTGAAAACTATAAGCAAAATGACTTTAACTGCAAAATGTAAGATTGAAAATAAACTGTAATTAACACTACAGCTATGCGAATGGAAGTACCTCCTTCACTGTGCATGCTGAGTATGCATAGTAACTTTTAAGATAAACGTTTACTAGAGGTGCTTATGAAACAATCATGATACTTTTAAAAGTTGGAATTATCCACATCAAATTTTTTATATTTTTACAACATATGCTTCCATTTCCTGTTTTACTTTCTTCTTTATATTTTCATGGAAACTAAAATGCAAGGTGAGATTTTTTCCCAAAAGTACAGAAATGATGAAAAAATTCTCCATCAAAATTTTAAAAGCCATCACATAGGTAACTACACGTTATTTTACTGGCAAGAAAGAGAATCAGAACTTGCTGCTTCTTTTTTTAGCAAGTTATACATCTATCCCACTGTTAATATTTCACCGAGGCTACAATAACAAAATCCACTTAGAGAAGACTTACATTCTACCATAAAATATTTTGAAAAGTTTTTTTAGCAATTTATTGTTTCACGTTTTCAGCAAGGCCTTAAAACATTCATATGTTAATAAATACAATTAGTAAATATGATTAAATTCACATATACATCTTAAAATATTTAAATATTGTACAATTCATTAAATGAATGGTATACCTTTAATTATGAGGTCAACATTCTTGAAAAATATCTAGGAAATGAAAAAGGTATAAAATGTATGTTTTGGCTTAGAAACCATACCTTTAGAAGAAAATTTCTCTAATTTTAAAGATATTTATACTGATGTATGTAAAGGTAAAAATGATAGGAAATCTGTGGATTTGCCCTTCTAAAGTCACCAAATCTATCGTTAATTAAATGTTCTTCCCATTGATACATATGTAGCCTTAATTCTTTCTTTAAAAAATCTTCCTTTTGACATAATGATTGTAGTGAACAAAAAAAATTGTCCATTTTGTAGTAATGTTACACACTAAATTCTGAGTTCCTTTAAAAGCAAGATGGGAAGTCCTAGATTTTAAAGGCAGAAAAACCACAAACTTTATATTCAGATAGCTACACACAGAACAATGTACTTTACAGAATTAAGAATTTTACTTTTTTAAACTGGACATGGTGGGGCATGCCTGTTAACCCAGCATTAGGAGGCTGAGGCAGGAGGATTGCCAACAGTTTGAGTCCACTAAGGACTATACAGTGAGTTCAAGGCCAGACTGAACTATCTAGCAAGACCCTGTCTCAAAATACAAACAAATTTTTAAAAAAAAATTTTCCTCCAGCTAATTTCTATTTTGGCAAACCCACAGAGAAATACTTCTCATAGTATTATTCCCTAAATAATTTCTGGTCCCTGAATTTGTAATTAGACACTGTATCGACATATCCATCCATATTTTCCCATTAAAAGTAACACAGTAAAACAATTAAAAAGCTTTCTACAAAGTAGGAAACAAAGTCATTGTGGATGTAGACATTTTTGATTAGTTACAGAATTATAAATTTATATTTCAGTATTCCCTAAGAAAATGGCTCAGGAGATCTTGAAATTGCTACATTGCAGGAAAAGAGGATCAAATCCCAAGATAAAAACTTCATGTTCTAAATGGAAACTTACAACCTTTCAGCTCCAATTATTTGAAGCAAACAATAACCACTTGAAACTCTGCCAAAGTCTACAAATTACAGGCGTGCAGACAGCAGCCACCACTCAGCAACCATGCCGCATCGCAGAGTCTGAGGCTGTGCAGACCATGGCACCATTCTTATTAAGGCTTTTTTTTCCCACTTTCTACTGTGTTTTAAGCAATAAGATTCCTTTTGGTGACTTTTTTTAGTATTATTTACTAAATAGCGTATGTTAATGGCTATTTAAAATTCCTTTAAGAAAGTCTTATTACTTCTAAAATATTCTCTGGAGAAAGACAATCATACAGGGAACATTTTCATAGAAGAACTTAATGAGGATATAAGGCTTTCCTAACATATTAGAAACAGCTTTTGTTTGTCTTTTTGCTTCCATGGAATTTTACGTACTACTGAATGGGATAATCCCAAGATTTGTGGCTATCTTCTACCCCATTTTTATTTCTACCATTACAGTTTCAGTTTGTAGCACTAGTGTTCCATTATTATTCCAACTACTATATATCAAATACATAATGATACTTCACATAATTTCATAAACAATATTCATATAATTAATTTCATAAGCAATGTAAATATCTTTGACATTACTGTGTTCAAAAGTGATCTCACTTTTGGAGCTAACCCAAAATCTAACTTTGGAGGTACTATAAGCAAGTTGGCTATTTTGATGCTAGGTAATTTCAATTAGCCAAATCAAGGGGCTGGGATATAGCTCAGTGGCATAGCACCTGCCTGACAAGTGCGAGGTACTGAGTTCGCCCCCTCACCTGCAAAAAAGAAAATAATCCAAATCATATATCTCTGACTTTAGGTAACTAACAAAATAAGATTATAGTATATAGTACTAATTTTGATGCATATATGAATCAGTGTCTTTTCGGTCTTTAAGAGGTGTGATAAAAAATCTAGGCAACACCTCTGCTGAGTGCTGTCTAATGGAAAGACCAACTTGTGGAAACATTACAACATCATCATCCATCTTATTCACCAGCTCTGATCGTGTACCACTTCTGCCTCCTCCTCCACGTCAAAGTGGCCGTGAAAGGCTAATGCTTAGAATAGATTAAGGATCCTGAGGTACCCAGGATGTAGCAAGTAAAGATCAAAAAGAGGATTTACAGAACTTAGAGATGGCTTTAGAAAGTCATGAGAATGGTAGAATAAGTTTGGTCAAAATGAGAATTATGAGAGGAATCAATGCCAATGTGTTTTTCACTATAACAGTTTTTTTATTATTTTTTGGTACTGAGAATCAAACTCAGGACCTTGTATTTGCCAGGTGGGTGCTTTGTTGTTTTGCTTTTTTAAGTTACACATTCATTGTATTTTTATCATACCTCATATAAGCTTACTATGTGTTAAGGAAGAGTAAGAGGGAGGAGTTATGCCTTTCAATACTGCATCAGTCAATTCAGTAGTGCATTGTTGTAAAGCAGGGCAGCAGTCTCTATCTGTCTCACAAACCCTTTCCACATGTGTCCCTTTCTGTTTGCACTTCTACACCATGGTTATCAAAAGCTTAGCAAACACCAGTGCCACATTTTTCAACTTCCAGATGTATGAGTCAAAATAAACCTCCTTATTTATAAAAGACTTGGGCTCCAGTATTCTATTATAGAGAAAACAGATGAAGGCAAGCATATTCAATTTATAAAATTACATATCCCTTGTTTTTTGAGATAAAAATATGATTTTTAACAAGCAAAGACAAGCACCAAATACCACAAATAATTACTATTTGAAAATAAATTAGACATGAAAACTCCCAAGGTACACAATTTCCCTTAAACCTTTCTGAGTACAACAAAGTTTTATCATAAAATATAATAATAAAAATAATAGTTTAATAGAATAAAACAGTAAGGGCCACCATGCTTAGATAAACTGTACATTGTCCTTCTTAAGAACACTGTAAGTCTATCTCATCATTTTCAATATTGAAAGGCTGTGTGAGAACCAACTTATTGCACCATTTGGCAGGTGACATCAGTAGAAGAGAGAAGACAAAGAAAACTGGCTTTTGAAAAAAAAAAACCTGTTAAGAGGAAAACGATCCTTCTTCAGAATTTCTTATGTATTAGTCATCAAAGTTACATCATGCACTGGCACACCAGCTTATTGTTCTGGCCTGCTGAGCCAGTCACGTTCAGAAAACTCATTTATTTAAGTGATTTTGTGTCAGAGATACTCTGAGGGAAAAAGTAGTCCTGGCTCACTATCTTGGCATATGCCTTCCAAAAGAAATAACTAAGTACATGATTTTGGTACGAAGCCAATAAAACAGAAGTACAGATCTTAGTGAGGAAACCACACAAGCTGCCAGTTGATGAAAATTAATAAGGGAGAAAAACATACTAGCACAATCCCCCTAAAAGGAAACTAATGTTTGGAAAATAAACAAGTGCTGGCTAAATTGGTAACAATCTAAGAAAATTTAGAGTAGAACTGGTCCACTGAAAAACTGCATAATGTGAGATTCACTAGTTGGTCACCTTCCAGAAGTAAGAGTGAACTAAAGTGCTTTATCAGCTCAGACAATAGTGAAGTAGATATTCTCCAGAGAACCTGAATTATGAAAATACTTACCTATAACAATTTCTGTAAGTGTACTGCCTAAACTAATAGTATATAGGGCAGAGTCCTTAAAAATAATAAGCCATACTTGTAAAAATGTAATTTTTCTTATCACCAAAACTACCCATTAAATATTTGCCTTGTGCTAGACACAATCTTAGGCAGTTTGTTCATCACTGCCCATGGCATGACTCCTACTACCACTCCCTAACTAATACATACTCTTCTCCAGAGAC